GGGGTCTTGGGGGCGGGGAGGCGGGCGAACGAGGCAAATGCGAACATGGGCATGCTGTTTGGAGGTCTGACGCCGAGTTGTTCTGCTGTTGACAGGCAGCTGGACCAGAACGAGATCGCCGAGCTGCCGGACGGGCTGTTCGAGAGCCAGGGCGCGCTGCGCAACCTCCGCCTCGAGTCCAACCAGCTGGGCGTGGTGCCCACCCGCGCGCTGCAGCCGCTGCGAAGCCTGGAGGCGCTGTGAGTAGTCCTGCTGCCCCCCAACGCGGAGAGAGAGCGGCTCAGCTGCGGCGAGCGCCGTGGCAGTAGGCAGCCGGCGCCGTGCCGTGCGCGCCTGTGCCGCGGGACGGCCTACCCCCACGGCGCTCGCCGCGAGCCGCAGCCGAGCCGACCGAGCCTCACACGATCGGTTTGGTTGGTCAGACCCACAAGAATGATTTCCTAACCACTTTTTGTTCATCGGCAAACGTAGTGTGTACACAATCACTGTAAGTGTGTACAGCACACAAACGTGTTCTCTACTTCTGAACGTTTTCGTGTACGTTGAACGCACACAAACGCTGCCTCTGTGAGCAGAGCGGACTTTGACAACTCATTTCATTGAGAGTCTACTACAAGTTTTCTTTTACGGTTCAGAGAGGGATGATACTCTGATCGTATGCGCCCTATGGAGCGCGGCCTTGTTCCTGATTTCTTTGTTATCTGCCGACAGGAACCTCGGGACCAATCAGCTCGACGCCATCCGGGCGGGGGACTTCCCTCAGATGGACTCGCTTGTCATCCTGTGAGTTTTCCCTCCCCCCTCCTATAAACAAACGGCACGCCTCCGCACGCGTCATTTCTCATACCGCTTGGCCGGAGCACCGCGCGCCGCGGCCGTTTCGCTCTCCCGCCGATCGGCAGCGGTAAAATGTCGTCCTGCGCGCGACGGGGGACTACGCGCCCGCCTCCCCTCTCCCACTGCTGCGCCCTCTTTCCCGTGACGCCGCCCCCCAGGCCCAGGAGGCGCCGCCGCCACCGCTGGCGTGAGCAACTTCCCCGCGTGTCCGGGTCAGCGTCAGCCCCCCCAGCAGCAGTGCTCTGCTTGCTTTTGTGTGCGAATATATTTTTATTATACGATGAGCAGGGAAAGTTTCCCCCTCAGCTTCGCCAGCCTCACGCCGGGCTCGGGCGCCGCCCCCAGTGTGCCCGCCCCCGCGCCGCCCCCACCCCCACCACAGCGCCAGCCGCCGGCCCGGGCCGATATTTCTTTGATTGACAGCGACATGCCGCGAGGGGGATGAGTAAGAGGAGGGGCCGAGTGTCGGGGGTGGCGGTGGAGTTCCGATGGGTACCACCACCGGGAGGTCTGTGCCGCCTTCCCCCTCCTCCTACCCCACCCACTTCACGACGCCGCTCTCAACTTCTTTTGCGCGGCTGGAATACATAACAACCCCCCCTTCCCCCAACCCCCCGCGGACCGCACTCTTCAGCGCCCTGTTTTGCTTTCTCGCGTGTTACCGTCAAGCAGCAGCGGTGGCACGGCACGGACGGGAAGTAACGAAACGTTGTCACTTTGTATCTGACACCGTTTAAATACTCGTCGCTCTCCTCATTTTCTGCTTCCCTCTCGTCGTTCCCC